AGAGCCCCGGAACGGCGCCGTTTAAACGCCCCACATGGCCGGAGGGCTCCGCCCCCGAGGCGGGGGAGGGGAGGGGGAGAAGAGCCGCCACCCCCCCCCACACACACACACACACAGGTGGCCCCCTCAGCTCCGGGCCCTCGGGGCGCCCCCTCAGCGGAGCAGGGCGAGGAGCGACCCCCTTCCCGCCCTCTCTCGCGAGCGTTCCCGACGGCTACGGTTAACGGCGGACGCCCCCGCCGGCCGCCCGCAAAACCAGCCCGAGGCGGGCCGCAGCTCGGCCTTCTTACCCTCCCGAGGAAAAGCCGCTTCTCCCGGCTGGGAGGGGGCGCGAACCCGGGGCCACTGCCCCCTCCTTCGCTGAGCGCTCTAAGGGGGGGGGGGAAACGGGCCACCCCGGAAGCGCTTCCCGTGGACACGCCCTACGACGGCCGGCGCCCTATCGGAGAGACGCCAGCCGGCTCGAGGCGCGCGTCACAAAAGTCTTTCCGGGGCCCGAACGCCCTGGCAACCGCGTCCGGTTGCTAAGGGGAATAGGGCGGGGCTTTTCAAGGAGACGAGCCGGCGCAGACGCAGACCGGCGGGAAGGTTTCCTTCAGCCAGAGGGAGATCGGGGGCGGGGCGATAGAGACACGCGGATTGTGGGGTCACGCGTGATTTGTTTATATGCTGGTCCTGAGAAGGGATCCCTGGCTTGAGCAGGGATGGGAGACCACTGGGAAATCCCAGGATGTGGAGGAATATCCAGAAGTCAATGTCTGGAATACTCTACCTGACTCTGTGATTTCTTCCACAAACCCCAAAAACTTTAACCTTAGACTGTCTACTATTGACCTCACCCCTTTCCTAAGAGGTCTGTAGGGGCAGTTATAAGCACACCAATGTGCCTACCGTCCCTGTCCTAATGTTTCTTTGTAGTTTTCTTATATTTATCCATTTTATGTATTCATAACTATGTTTATACTTATTCCTGTTATCTTATAATCGCTTGACAAAATAAATAAAAAATAAATAGAATAGAATAGGAATAGAACAGAATTCTTTATTGGCCAAGTGTGATTGGACACACAAGGAATTTGTCTTGGTGCATATGCTCTCAGTGTACTTAAAAGATACATTCGTCAAGAGTCAAGAATCATCAGGTAGCAATGATAGTCATAGGGTCCAATAAGAATCGAATAGAAAACAGAATCGAATAGAAAACAGAATCAAATCAAATCGAATAGAAAATAGAATAGAATTCTTTATTGGCCAAGTGTGATTGGACACACAAGGAATTTGTCTTGGTGCAAATGCTCTCAGTGTACATAAAAGAAAAGCTACATTCATCAAGAGTCAGGAATCATCAAGTACAACACTTAATGATAGTCATAGGGTATACAATAAGAATACGAATAGAATATTGGCCAAGTGTGATTGGACACACAAGGAATTTGTCTTGGTGCAAATGCTCTCAGTGTACATCAAAGAAAAGATACCTTTGTCAAGAGTCAAGAAGGGACAAGGGTAAAGCTTTTTTAGGTTCCACCCCCCAAAATAAGGGGTACTGGGCGAGGGAGAGGTAGCCCTGCACCCCACGAAGATTGTCATCATGCAAAACATCCATATTTCACACTGGCTTCCACTGTTTGCACAGAGTTGGCGTTTGTACATCCAAGTGAGGCAATCGTATTTCAGAGCAGTATTTTTTTCAACCTGGGCCATTTTAAAGATGGATGGACCTCAAATCCAAGAATTATCCAGTCAGCAGGCAAGATGATAGCCACAATGGTCCAATTGAAGAGACAAACTTTTATTATTAATGTGAATTCCATTTTTTTAAAAAATAACATGGCTGTCTTTGACTTTTTGGACATACCAACTAGCAGTACCTGAACACACTTGTAAATGGATCATAAGCTTCCTAACAGACAGGAAGAAGCAGGTGAAGCTAGGTGGAATCACATCCGATACCTGTACAATCAGCACAGGGGCCCCAAGGCTGTGTGCTTTCTCCACTTCTCTTCTCCCTATATACCAATGACTGCATCTCAAGCAATCCATCTGTTAAAATACTGAAGTTTGCTGATGACACAACAGTAATTGGTCTCATTCGAGACAACATGAATCTGCATTCAGACAGGTTATACAACTTGCCTCATGGTGTAACCGGAACAATCTGGAACTGAACACACTCAAAACCGTAGAAATGGTGGTAGACTTTAGAAGAAATCCTCCCATACTACCACCTCTTACAATACTAGACAACATAGTATCAACAGTAGAGACCTTCAAATTTCTAGGTTCTACTATATCACAGGACCTAAAATGGACACTTAACATCAAAAACATCATCAAAAAAGCACAACAAAGAATGTTCTTTCTGCGCCAACTCAGGAAGCTCAAACTGCCCAAGGAGCTGCTGATCCATTTCTACAGAGGAATTATTGAGTCTATCATCTGCACCTCTATAACTGTCTGGTTTGGTTCTGCAACCCAACAGGACAGACACAAACTTCAGAGGATAATTAGGACTGCAGAAAAAACAATTACTTCCCACCTGCCTTCAATTGAGGACCTGTACACTGCAGGAGTCAAAAAGAGGGCTGTGAAAATATTTAGACCCCTCAAATCCTGGACACAAATTGTTTCAACTCCTACCCTCAAAATGACACTATAGAGCACTGCACACCAGAACAACTAGACACAAGAACAGTTTTTTCCCGAAAGCCATCACTCTGCTAAACAAATAGTTCCCTCAACACTGTTCAACTATTTACTCAGTCTGCACTACTCTTACTATTAATCTTCTCACCACTCCTTCTCACCCAACCCCTCCCACTTGATTGTTTCCTGGTATGATTTGATTGTTGATTGTACCCTATGACTATCATTAGGTGTTGTACATTATGATTCTTGATTCTTAACGAATGTACCTTTTCTTTATGTATACTGAGAGTATTTACACCAAGACAAATTCCTTGTGTGTCCAATCACACTTGGCCAATAAAGTATTCTATTCTATTCTATTCTATTCTATTCTATTCTATTCTATTCTATTCTATTCTATTCTAATTCTAATTCTATTCATACCTCACAGACATCACTGTGGCATTCTGGAGGGTCTTAAACATTGCTCAACTTCAGCCTAAAGGTTTCATAAAAAGTTTTGCTGAATTAATAAGAATCTCATCCTACATTAAAAGCTAAGAAACTTATAGCACCTACAAAGGAGCAGAAGAGATGTATTCTGACTTCAAACCCAACTGCCTTTAGATATAGTGGGTATTCTGGAAACTCTACTCTCAAAGCAGTTGAAGAATATTGGGCCAGAATATGTTGAAAATGAACCTTTCTTAATCTTTCCCACTGCCACAAAATTTGATACAAGTAAAGTACAGTATGAATACTCATAATCTTTAAAATCGTCATTTAAGAACTAATCGCAGTCTGCACATAGACTAATCAATTACCCAGATAAAAACAAGGACAGCTGTGCTGAATTCTATAAAACTGTGTTATATCTTTATTAGGCCAATTCCACAATTACAAGTAATGTAGTAATTGGTTAATCAGAAAAGATTTTAACCAAACCTCCAATGCTGCAAAACAAAGATGGAAGTGAACTGGAAAATCTTTAGAAGCATTAATATGTTGTTTCTAATATCAGCAATTCTGTGCTTCGTGTTGCCTTCGTACCAAAATTTGTCCTATTCAAGTTGTTATACAGAGCCATGTAGAAATTCTACCACTCTGCCACTGTAATGAGGTACATTCTTGGGCCTTGTTTCTTTTAAATCCAAAAGAATTATTCATTCAGCATTTTCTAGTTTACAGGGAAGAAAACTAGGTATTCAGCGTAGCAACAAGTAGATTTTTTTGTACAGAAGCATAAGAATGTTATTTAACACTGATATGGGTCAGAACTTTAATAAGTGCTTAAAGCACAACGAATTTAATACAAAGCATCTAGTTACTAGTTCAGAATCATTAAAATACTTAAGTATTAAGAGCATTGTATCAATGACCTGACTTTTTTTTTTTTAGTCTGTCAACTTTTAAGTTATTTTAGTCAACAGAATAGCATGCCAGATGCTTATCAAGACTCAAATTCAAACGGAATATATGCAGTATATATACAGCCTATACACAATGCTCTGGGAGCAGAAGATCTGCTTGCAGATCCGGGATCAGCTCACATTTGATCATCTTCAGATTCTTCCTGTTCTGCAGGACAAGGAGGCAAAGGACGTACTCTGTCAATGGGGGGAAAAAAATACAAGTCAGTAATCCTTCCTATTTCTAAAATTCCAGTAAACTATATTTTCAATAGCTGGGCCATTAGAAGAGACTAAAAATATCGTAAAAGCATGCAGTCTTCATCTTGAACTGGAATCTGTTTTCCAGTTAGATTAGCAACCTTCAAGCCTTCTGTGTCACACAGTTACTTCCTTCTTTTTGTGTTGCCCTGAATAAAGATTTCAGAACCAGGTCTACTGAAACAAAGCACAGGTCGAAAATTCTACTATCTAGGTCAGTATTTCTCAACCTTGGCAACTTTTAAGCTTTATGGACTTCAACTCCCAGAATTTGCCAGCCAACTCTTATGGGAGTTGCAGTCCATATAACAACTTAAAGTTGCCAAGGTAGAGAAACACTGAACTAGGTAATGCTGGAAGCACTATTTTAAAAAGCAATTTGCAAAAAGCAATGAAACAAAGCTTCACTGTGTGGTCTCACTGAAAAAAATAAAATTCCCAAAACATTTGCCCCCTAATACCTAGTAAAAAAAACCATTTTAGACATGGATTCTCCAAAACTCATGCTGTACTGAGTAAACAAGGGTAGTGAATTGTCATTTTCACTGAGCAGTAACTAAGGTGGTTAGATCAAGTGAGGTAGCAGTTTAAAAACATGGTTCACCAATCATTCTGTAGAGGATACAGCTAAGCATCCAAGTGCTTCAGTGACCCTCAAAAAGGACGCAAATGACCAGCTGACTGCAAGGAACATAAATCCTTCCATTCCCCACCATCCAGACAGATCTGAAGAAGCTTCTTGGATGAGAATTGAAACTTCTTCAAAGAAAAAAACGTAAGTCCAGTTGCCTCCTGAAAAAGCACCTTTGGGACAATCATGACACGGATGACTGAGAATTTATACAGACAATTCTTCTAAACTTGTGGACTTCAACTCCCAGAAGTCCTCAGTCAGCACATTCTGGGAGTTGAAGTCCACAAGTCTTCAAGTTGCCAAGGTTGGAGACTGCCGTTCTATAGAACATGAAACCTTGAATACTTGGCAGCTGTTTTGCCACTTAGGAATGCGCAGATAGCCATCCTTACTTCTTCCTGCGTTTTCCTATTTCGCTGCACCCTGGCTCCTCCTCCAAGTTGTGGTTCTCCTTTTCCCGACGATTTGGAGTTTGCCTGAAGAACTCTCCGATGCCTTTTTGCCAAGGTGGAGTTGGCCTCACACATACCGGATTGCCTCCTGCATACTTACTCTCTGCTGCAGAAAGCAAACCAGAAGTTATGCCCAGCTAACGAAGTGGGGGAAAGCAACACACCCAATTTACAGAGTAGGCCTTGATTCATGATTGTTTTGTTTGATGACAGTTCAAAGTTAGGATGGCCTTGGAAAAAGTGATTTGCCACAACCTGGCCTCAGAGTTGACTGTTGTACATCATGCGATCATAATCCGGGCACTTGGTAACCTGGTCTCGTTTACAACAATTGGAGCAATTTGCAAACACAACATGGTCACCTTCCCAGCCAACTTCTACAAGCAAAGTTAATTGGGGAAGCCAGAGTCATGGTTTGCTTAACCATGGTGAACATGGTTGTCAATCCAAGTCTGGTTACATGATAACTCACTTCATGACTGTGAGAAGCGTTAATAAAGTATCCTTTTTATGACTCAAATCTCATGTTGAAAGATAGATTATGTCCTTGGAGTAAGGGAGTGCAGTACCAGGCATGCCTTTGAAGCGCTGGGAATTATCACACTTTTTGGAATGTCTTTGAAATGCCAGATACCGGGTAAGAAAGTGTCTGTTATGTGCTGGGTACCAAAAAGATAATAAAATGTAACTTGTATCCTGAAAGATGTATTGTAAATCAAGCCATTTGTATACTGTGTGTGTGTGTGTGTGTGTGTGTGTGTGTGTGTGTGTGTGTGTAGTTTTAGAGTATAAAAGTAGAGCGAAAGCTGTGCTTTTTGTTCCTCCCAGCTGCCAAGGGTGGAACCCATCTGCAGATGTATATCCAATAAAGCCTTTTTCCTTGGATCAACTTTGAATCATGGTGGTTTTTCTTTAGCCACAATCTCACATGACCATATCATTTAGTGATTTACATTCCACTTTCAATTGCGACTTTAAATCCAGGACTACCTGTAGTAGCTACAAAAGCTTCCAATCCACCTATGGTTTAATCTCCGAATGCACAAACTATCTCAAGTTAATTAAAACAAGCCATCTTTGCTAAACTGTAATGCCAGAATGCATCAGATGAGCAATTTCAACTATCTATCTCACAGAAGTGAATATGAAGCTGTTGCCTATTCCTAAAATGTTTTAGGAATTCAGTCCGGAGCATTAAAAGCGCAAAATATTTTAGGCCTGGCTTAGATATACAGTATTGACTCTATAAGAAACAGCAGAATGACAGAAAAGCCCAGGAACCACATTATACGTGGCAGCAGCCCTGCGGTGGCTGCCGCTCTAAATTAAACAGCCACAGCACAGTATCTTTAATTTAAAGGAAGCAGAATGAAAGCATACTAAGCACCATGAAGGAAGTATGTGGAGCTTCAGTCTGATTGCAGCAGTCCTTGGCTTACAATAGTTCATTTGGTGACCATTCAAAGTTACAAGAGCACTGAAAAATGTGGTTTATGACCATTTTTCAAATGTACCTTTGCAGCATCTTGTGATTAAAATTCAGCTGGCTCATATTTATGAGTTCTGAGCCAAGTCAATAAGGAAGCCAGATTCACTTAACCAGGTTACTAATTTATCCACTGCCATGGTTCACTTAACAACTATGGCAAGAAAGGTCGTAACATTCGACAAAATTCACTTAACAAATGTCTCATTTAACAGCAGAAACAGGGCTCAATTGTGGTTGCAAGTCAAGGGCTATTTGTACTTGCAGAGCAATTCTAAATTGAAAAGCACCAGTGGCCTTCAACCTCTGTCGAAAGCACATTAAAGCCAGTCAAGAATCAAGTCCATCTTACACACTCACCTTTCCTTGACGTAGGAGACGAACTAACATTCGCCTGTCCAGAGCCCAGCGCCTTCCGAGGAGCCCTGGCAGCTACCACTGGCATAAAGAAAGAATTAGAGATTATTTACAGTTAAAAAATGCCATTAAGTCCAATTATCTAGGTCTCAGACCAGTTGCTTCTTTTTACAATCCACAAAGAGTAGGGCAGTTTTTTAAAATGGGGGGGGGCTTAAACCGGTAACGAGGGTGCCCTAGTCCAAGGTGCTTCCAGTCTAAGGTAATGCAAGCTGACTGGATAGCCAGGTATAGGGCTACTTTGAATGAAAGCATTCCTCCATTTCAAAGGGCTTGCACTGGGAATTGCAATACACACCATGCAGTCAAGCCACATGGTCAGCCAAAATTCTAAGGGCCTGGGCACCCTATGCTAACCTCAGCTGCCTTTTTCACAGCTTGCTGTGTCTTAAATCCAGCTTAAGTAAACACAGTTAAAATCCATCCCATTTAGAAGGAAGGAGGGGGAATGCAAAGCAGCTGCTTTAAGTATGGCAACTCACACCATCGTTTTAATCAGGAGGCTACAAGGCGGCTAGAGTCAGATCAGGCTGCTCAAGGAGTCGTCTGTCTGCCTTTGCTTTCTTTTTTTTTTCTTGGCTCACCATCTGCTGCAAATCTAACCTTCTTTAAGCAGTTAATTGCTGGAGACCTTATGCAAGCGGGCTACTTCTGCATTCTGGTTAGTTCTGCATCCCAGTTAGTTCTGCATCTCAGTTAGTTCTGTATCCCACTTAATTCTGCATCTCGGTTAGTTCTGTATCCCACTTAATTCTGCATCTCGGTTAGTTCTGTATCCCACTTAATTCTGCATCTCAGTTCTATATCCCACTTAATTTTGCATCCTGGTTAGTTATGCGTCCCACTTAATTTTGCATCCCAGTTAGTTCTGCATCCCACTTAATTCTGCATCCTGGTTAGTTCTGTATCCCACTTAATTCTGCATCCCGGTTAAGCATGTGCAAATGCTTTTACCTTTCCGATAGGCACCGGCGGTGCCGCCGCAGTTCGCCTTGGTCCGCACCATGCCCGTCCTTTGCCGTTGCACCAAAGGGGGGGAAAAAAAACGGAATAAAACGAGAGCCGGGAAAGAAAGCGGAATAAAAGGCGCAACTTTCTAGCAAAGCGGCCGAGCGGCGACTTCCTTCTGCCGCAATATTCGGGCTTCCCGCGCGCGCGCCGCGCTCCCATTGGCCGAGGCGGAGACGGCGAGCGGCCAATCACGTGCCAGCCCGCGACTTTCACCCGCGGTTCGAAACTCCGGCCGCCTCTGGATCTCTTGGCCGCCCGAGGAGCCGTCCGTGGGCGGCGGCGGGATCCCCTCGAACCCCGGGCCGCCGCAGGGCGAATGAACCCAACCGGGAGAAGCTTGATTGGGGCTCCTCTGGGGTTCTGCATGGAGAGAAGGGAGCCTCCGCCTATGGCAACCGTAATTGAACGTTATGCGTTTTTTTTTAAAAAAAATATTTATTTATTGAAGATTTTACATAAAATAACAAAGCAAATCTAAAGGAAAGGAAGAAAAAAAGAAGTGGTAGAAAAGAACAATGCACAATGGTATGTCCAAAGAATGGAATCGGGTAAAGAATGGAATCAAGCGGTGTGAAAAATGTAAGTGTGTAACACACCGGATTACAAACTGACCAGGCTGCTTGAGTTTGTACAGTGCTGCACTAGCTAACCATGTTTTAACCCCGAGTGTTATACGAAGCCAGCTAGTGAGAGATCACTTCTGAAAAAAACATGCATAGGACAGCCTGGTCAATAGCACCAGAGGTAATCCTGCATAGATCTAATATCATCTATGCTAAATAAATCTCAAAGGAAAGTGGGGTATAAATTACAAATACAATCCCTTGTTTAAATCTGCAAATCTCAAAGAGAACTCATTCCTTATCTGAGGGCTGTGAAAATATTTACAGACCCCTCACATCCCGGACATAAACTGTTTCAACTCCTTCCCTCAAAACGATCCTATAGAGCCCTGCACACCAGAACAACTAGGCACAAGGACAGTTTTTTCCTGAAAGCCACCACTCTGCTAAACAAATAATTCCCACAACACTGTTCAACTATTTACAAAGTGTACACTACTATTACTGTTAATCTTCTCACCACTCCTTATCACCCATCCCCTCCCACTTGACCGTTTCCTAGTATGATTTGATTGTTGATTGTACCCTATGACTATCATTAAGTGTTGTACATTATGATTCTTGATTCATAACAAATGTATCTTTATGTATACTGAGAGTATTTACACCAGGACAAATTCCTTGTGTGTCCAATCACATTTGGCCAATAAAGTAGTCTATTCTATTCTATTCTATTCTAAGGCCCCCTACTAATCACCCAATAAACACCTCCTTAAAACCTTTTTCCGGTTACCTACCTGGAAAGGTAAACAGGGCCATTCCACACCCAATCAAAGCCAAACGTAATTAAACTTACAATACAGCCAATCTAAACCCATCAAGCTTTCCTTGAGAGTGATAAAGGACAGTTTGCTTCTGCAACTCCATCCATTATCATGGTAATAAAAACCCTGAAAGCTTAATTGGTATTAAGCCACTTGAGTTCCATTGTCATTCACCAGAAGCAAGATGTTAAGAACCACTGATGAGGTTAGTTTGTTGATTGAGAAATGTGTCACAAGCACCTTCCCAGGCCTGGCATCAATGCCTATAGGAGAGGGAACAGCTATACAGTGATTGTCTAATATTCATTTTCTAAACACATTTTTGTCAGGCTTCCATCATGGGCTATGAGAAACAAACCAACAGATCTCCTACTATTTTAGCTGGTATCTGATATTTGGCAGAAAAATATGTTTGATTCTGGGGGTAACTACCCACCAACCTCCCTTTCCATGCATTTTTTTTTCACGCTAAATCTGCAGCTGTCACCACATCCTTTGTTACCAAAGGACAGTTTTTAACATGTGTGAAAAAGCATTTCCGGTAAGCAAGCACGGGTTAGGTTTGCTAATGTAACCCACTTCTGCATTCTGTTTATTGAAGCATGCTTTATGCTTGAATATTAAAAGATCAGTAGATTGGTTCAGAGAAAAGTAACAAAGATGATTAGGGGACTAAAGGCTAAAACATACAAAGAATGGTTGCTGGAATTGGATAGGTCTAGTTTAACGAATAGAAGGACTGGGATGACAGGATAGCAGTCTTCCAAAATCTCAGAGGTTGCTACAGATAGGAAGGTTTATTCTCCAAAGGACCTGAACTCAGGGCAAGAAGCAATGGGTGGAAACTAATCAAGGAGAGAAACAACCTAGAATTAAGGAGAAATTTCCTGACTGTTCGAACAATTAATCAGCCCCCAGAAGTTGTAAATGCTCCAACACTGGAGGTTTTAAAACGAGATTGGACAACCATTTGTCTGAAATGGTGTAGGGTTTCCTGCTGAGCAGGGGCTGGACTAGAAGACCTCCAAGGTCCCTTCCAATTCTTATTCTATTCTAAAACCAGCCCTACACAAAATATAATCTTTGACTTTCAACCATTCCTTTAGTTTGTTTGAAGTTACAACAGCACTGGAAAAAATGACTTATGACCCTTTTTCATGTGATCATTGCAGCATCCCCATGGTCACATGATCAAAATTCAGCTGTTTTGGCAACTGGCTCCTATTTATGACGGTTGCAGTATCTGGAGGTCATGTGTAGAGTTGTAATTGCAGGAATGTTCCAATCTCGGATGGCAAACCTCAGATAAAGAATGGTTTCCAAGCAAATATAACTCAGGTAAACAAAGTCACTAATCTAAAGGAGGATTAGAGAGAGGAAGTAAACATATGTTAGACTTTAACTAGAGATAATTAATTGAATGGATTACTGTGCTAAACAGTAACGAAAGTTAAGCAGTAACCAAAGTTAACCAGTGATGGAGGATAACTAAAAATGTGTATAAATGCAAGACTAGACTCCAGTAAAGATCATCATGATTCAGTTGTTCATGATCAAACAACTCGACTGCCTCGTCATTACAACAGTCATGTGAGGTCACTTGCAACCTTCCGACAAGCAAAGTCAACGGGGAAGCCGGATTCACTTACCTGTGTTGCTAATTTAACAACTGGTGATTAACAACTGTGACAAGAAAGGTTATAACTCTCTTGGCCGCTGTCTCAGCAACAGACATTTTGGGCTCAATTGTTGCCATAAGTCAAAGACTGCCTGTGGTTTCAGCAAAGTTACAGTAGCAGGATGGAGAAGTCAGCATTTTGGAGACCCATCACCGAAAGCAGGTGGACTTGTGGGTGAATTGACCACACAAGTGGTGGGATTCAAAAAAATTTACTACCAGTTCTGTGGGCATGGCTTGGTGGGCATGGTGTAGCTTGGTAGGCGTGGCTCGGTAGGCATGGCAGGGGAAGGCTACTGCAAAATCCCCATTCCCTCCCCACCCCACTAACCTGCTTTCCAGCTCCATTACCCTGGGCAGGGCAACAAAAGGAGACCCAGCTGATCAGCTGGGACTCCGGCGGCAGAGAATCGACGGGGGCAAAGATCTGTGGATCTGGGAGAAAGATCTGTGAATCAAAACCATGCTAACCACAGGTGAACACATGTTGGAAATGTGACAAAAATGATGGTATGTTCCAGGTGAGTTAAGAAGAAAGACTACTTGGGAATCAGAGGCTTGAGAAAATTGATCATGTTAACCAGGATCCATGGGAAATAAAAGTCTGGATTACAGGCCCAATTTTTAGAAGGTTTTTTTCATCACTGCTCAAATAAGGCCCATCATTTCACTTGTCCTGATCTGCATCTCTGCTGTGTTCTTAGGTAAAACTGGTCTATCAACTAAGCATCTGGAACTTAGGGAAAAGTCTTAATGTTCTGCTTTCATCCTAACAGTCATTTATCTTCTTTGCAATTGTTCTCTTGCTTCTGTAAGAGAGGAAGTTGAGTACAGACAGTCCAACCGAATCCTAGAGCTTCCCTTGTTCATGAAGCCAAGAAGATAAATAAAAGCTGCAGGAATTTCCTGATCCTGGATGTTTATAAAAAGTATAAAAGTTATACTTGTGTTTCCACTTGATAGCGAAGGTTGCCACTGTCTTTTTCTCCAACAGTTTGCTGATTGACAGCTTCTGGGAACAAATTAAAGAATGTCTGTATTGGTTTGACCGTGTCAATTTGAGGAAAACACATTTTATGAAGGAAGATCTAAGTCACTGGGTGGTCCATTCCAGTAAATCTTGATAAGCACATCCGAAAAAATAGACAATTGCAAGTTCATTAAGGTTTCCTTAAAAAAGAACAGTAACAATGCAAACTTGAAAGGTTTCCCTAGAAATTCCCAACACCGGGGTTCTGTGTTTGTACCAAATGTCTGTTGGTTCACTCAATTCATCTGGCTTTCTTGCATCCAGGTTCGATCACCATAATTGCAAAAAAGTTGTTGAGACTTTGGAAAAAGTGCAGAGAAAAGGAACTAAGACAATTAAAGGCCTGGACAGTTGCAGGAACTGCAACTAGTTTGGAGAAAAGAAGGACTTGGATGACATGGTAGCAGGATTCCAGTATTTGAGGGGCTGAAACAAAGAAGTGGGGGTCAACTTAATTTCCAAAGCATCAGAAGGCAAGACAAGAAACAATGGAAACTTATCAAGGAGAGAAACAGAAGCAAGGAGAAATTTCCAAACAGTGAGGACAATGAACCAGGGGAACAGCTTGACTTCAGAAATTGTGGGTGCTCCTTCACTGGAGGTTTTTAAGAAGAGTCTAGACAGTCATTTGTCTGAAATGGTATAGGTTCTGCTTGTGCAGGGGGCTGGACTAGAAGATCTCCAAGGTCCCTTCCATCTCTTCTATTTGTACAGCAGTCCAGATGAACATGGTTGCCCACCTTGCAGTGTATAACAATAGATGGATAGAGATACATATTAAAAATAAAATCAAAGGCAAAGACTGCAATGAGCAACTTCAGGACTCATCACACTTTGAGAACCTTGGAGTTTGATACTCAGATTCTTTAGCTATTCCACTATCATAAACCCTAAAACCTCTTGGAACTTTTACTTTACATGTTCTTGTTGGAAGAACTGTTTATTCTTTTTACTTATTATTTGTCCTACTTACCCACTCGTGGGCAACCTGAAGGCTATATTAGCTCTTCTCAT